GGGGTGATGGCAGGTCGGTCTGATAGGCCACACACACACAGACACACACACCCCTCCTCCCCCTTTCTTTTCCCCCCGGGAGATTTCGCCAAATCCTGCGCTGGCGCTTCCGCGAGAGGCGCGTGGCGGCGCCTGCAGGGCGAGACATTGCGAAACCCTCCCAGCCTGTCCCATCCCATACCCACCCACCATCCCCTCCCCTCCCCTCCCCTGGCGAGATAACCGGTCAGTTCTGGGACCCGGGGACCAGCCATGTCAGCCCTAGTAGGACAAAGCAAAGAGGTTCCTTTCTCTCGGTGAGGGAGGGCCGGGGAGGAGGGGGAGGGGGGAGGGGATGACGGATAGGCTGGCTTGCCAATAAGCATCACCGAGAACAGACAGGGGGGAGGAAGAAGAAGGGCCTTTACACGACACCACCACCACCACCACCACCACCACCACCACACATACGCGCGCCCACCTCACTGGCCTAGATACGCGAGGCAGGTGAAGAAATCTCCAATTATTAAGCCGGCGGCCAGGGGATTGGTTGGTGCGGAGGATATCCCCCGACGCAGGACTCCTACCTCCTGCCTCCTGCCTCACAACCCCAGCCAGAGGATTTGCGCAAGAGGTTCAAACAACTCCTAGCGCGCGTTTGTTTGGTTGGCTCTTCGTCTCCCGGACTTGATCTCCGTTATATCCGGGCGGATGCCTGGCATAGTGTTTCTCACTCGCAGCAACGTGGCTAAATGGACGTCCTTTGTGCTGGCCAAGAGTCAAATCTCGCCTTTCTCACCTAAATCACAGGGGTTGCGCGACAAGATTCTCGATGAACTAGGGCAAACTGCTGCTGTATTTTTTGCAGGTAGCCAGTGCATGCACCAAGTATTCGTCTTTTCGCCCTATCGGCTCTAATCAAACAACTGCTACAAGACCATTCTCCGTTCCCTGGAGCCTCCGCTCGAGCAAGGCTCTGGAGCATCGGCGGACCTGGGCTGGGGGGAGAAAGTTGCGTCCTATTCCCCGATACCCCCTCCAATCATGTCCAGGCGCCTAGCCGAACTCTCCTTAAACACATGTTGGTGCTGAGCTCCATGGAAACCTTGAGCTCTCTGACCGGAGCTCCATGAAAACCTTGAGCTCTCAGACAGGATGCATTGTTTGGAAAGGTGCAAGCTGTGTACTCTCTGCTGCCAGAGGGATTCCCTGACGGCAACGCGAGGTCCACGTTTGTTCCCCCCAAGTCATGATAACCCACGAAATCTGCAATGATTGCAGCCGCCACTCCAGGAACATGAAAACCAATAACCTAGGAGATCTGCAATGACTGCAGCCGCCGCTCCAAGAACATGAAAACCAATAACCTAGGAGATCTGCAATGACTGCAGCCGCCGCTCCAAGAACATGAAAACCAATAACCTAGGAGTTCTGGCGTGACTGCAGCCACCACCCATCATCGTCCATCTCGGCCTCCGGCAATGACACCGGAGTCACACGAGCTGCCGACGTGGGTATCGGTCGATCCCTTGCTCGTCCGCCCAGGCGAGCAGACGATCCAAAGGGTCTCAAAGTCAAAATAGCTGAAAAAAGAAACGAGACAAAGGAAAAGGGGAATCGAAAGAAGGGGATATCTGGTAGGGGTCGCCGGGAGGAGCATGAGCCATGAAGTGGTGCATGCCAACTCTCTGAAGTGACGACCGATGACTGGAGAGCTTGGGTTCTCAAGAATATCGAACTCGCCGGTGAGGGTTTGGCAGAAGTGACACTCCATGATAGTCATGTGCCCATACGCGGCCGATGGAAGGGAATACAAAGAGAAACAAGAAAAGTGTGGGAAGAGAATGAAGACCACAAAGAGATTGCACCGTGCGCCTGCTCCAGGTTCCTATGTAGCTCTTTGCCGTCCTCTGCTGATGCTGGAGTCTGCGCAGAGAAACAAGTAGGACGGTTCGGCGGCAAAATGCCGTTGAGGGAGGAACCATGAGAGAAATCGGATGCCACTTGGCTGCGACTGCTAGTCTGGGGACGGAGAGCCCTCATGTGACAGCGCCCATGCATGTCTGTGTCGAGTCGTCCTTGTAGTTCGTTGTCTGGGTAGACGCTTTCTACAGGAGGGCGGCCCCACGGTGCGCTGGAGGCCCAAAAGTGCAAAGGCAAAAAAAACTAAAAAAAAAAAAACTAAACAAGACGAGAGAAAAAGTGTCGAAGAGAAAAGTTAGTGGTGCTGGTCGGGAGTAGGGAATAGCGCAGTGCGAGTCAAAGACTCCTTGTGTTTCGGGCCAGCTCGCTTCAATGATGTCCTGGAAGTCCTGTCGATGCCCTGTCGTTCAGCTAGGTTAGGCAGTCCTCGGCATGTGGGAGTTCGTGTCCGTAAGATGGGGTTGCGAGCGACCTATGGTTATGGAGGGTACCTGTCAGGAGCGAGTTCGCCTTTTTACGCCCAGTTAAGCATCCTGGTTGGGGGTCCCGTGCTCACCGTGCAGACCATGACGTGGGTTGGTGGAAGGGTTGATGGACTGGAAACCATTCAGCGGTGCAATGATGGGCGAGCCATATGCCGAAGTCGCGGCAGACAGGAGGCCGGGATATGTGGGAGCGCCAGCTCCCAGATTGAGAGGGTTGATGGTTGCGTCTGCGGGCACAATATAAGTAAGGCCGTTGTGGTGGCTCATCATACCCGTATCCCCGACTTGGCTATGATGGCCGAAGTACTGAGCATGGTGGTACTGCTGCGACTTGGGAAGGGCAAGATGATCGTGGGATCCGATGATTCCGTTGCTGTTCATCAGTTGCAGCGCCTCCCGCGGCTGCAACTGGTGTCTAGAAGGGGGATGGTGTACTTGTTAGTCAAAACCCAACGCCCTCAACTGCGCCAGAGACCATCAGAGACGGAGCGCGGGATATATGGGAAATCGTTCTTACCTGCCATGATCAAGGGGGCTGTTCATACGATCTGCGCAAAACAAACGAATTAGAGCCCATGTTAGCTGATCCACCAACCGACTTTAGCCCCCAAGGCCAATCAAGTGGGAGGAAAAGTCACTTACTGGGAATAGGACGGTCGTCGGCTCGCAGCATGTCGCCACCCTCCTGGGATCCATGGCCCGTAGTCCACGAGCTGTCGTCGTTTCCGTTGTCCGACTCCTCCACAGCCTGGTCAGCAGCAGCAGTGGTGGTGGTGCCCCGACGTACAGCAGCTTGCCGCTGGGCCCTAGCCGCTCCCCTAGTCGTGACACCTGGGCGCGCCCTGTTAGCGGTAGGGCTCCCGTTCTTGGCCTGCTTCTTCTTCCTCTTGGCCGGAAGCTCGGCCTTCTTGCTGACTGGGCTGCCCTCGGGGGTGGGTGATGCATAAATGTCGCGACTCCGTTCAATGGTGAACATGTCCTTCCAAATGCACTCAACAGGCTCAATCGACTCCGAAGTGATTCTCATGTTCTGGACGACGGACTTTGGCTTCTTCTGGTTGCGCTTGCGGCGTTGCTCGGGAGTAGCAGCGTCGAAACCAGCCATGCCCGGGTACACGATCCCCTTCAACTTCACCGTGTCGTCGTCCTCAAGATCAAAATTCTCCCAGCTCATCCTGCCGTCAAAGCTGGAGGCGTCGAGCTCGGAACCCTCGTCCTCGAACTTACCAATATCAGCGTAGTTGAGAGACAAGTCCGAATCGACACGCCCGGAAGTCGGAGTCTGGAATCCAGGCGTGGTAGTGATGGTGTTGCCATTGCGGGTTAGAGGCGAGTCGTAGCGGCCAGTCGCCTGCCGGCCATGGTTGACATGCGCGCCAAATACATCTTCGCTGTCTTCGCGAGGCTCGGCTTTGACGCTGACGGAGCGGCCAGCTGAACGAGAGGGAAGATCTCCAGCCGTCCGGACCTGGCACGAGAGTGAAAAAAAGGCACATATGAGCAATTGTTCTCAAGGGAAAGCGGGTCCAGGGTCAGGGAATGCGAATATCAGTGATACTTACACGCAGGGCTGCGGCAGGCCGCTCACGGCGGGGCTGACGGCGGCGTTGCTTGGTCTCCATGCGCCGCTGGAGATGCTCGCCGATACGGTGCTTCGCATACCAGCGCTCGTAATCGGCCAGGGAAGCAGCGGACACTCCATCGTCGCCTTGCGCACGCAGCTCGGTGTCGAACTTGCGCGAGAGGTGACTCTTGGATGAAATGTGCGTCAAGAGGTGAGACAGATCTGAGAAGTTCCGCCGCTCTGGGCAAAGCGCGCAATAAAGCGGGATCGAGTCCTCGCCGACGGAGGGGGCCCTGGAACTCATCGTCTGTGGAATGTTAGCCCCGCTTTCCGGTAAGGTCAAAGGGAAAGTCGTAAACAGAAAATACAAGGAAACAGGGGTACGGAAAAAAGGGAGTTATGGAAATCTCGAGGAAAAGTACAAAAACACAAGGAAAATGAAGCAAATGCCAAACAGCCTCAAAAGGCCATATTGGCCAAAGAAAAGGAGAAAGAAAAGCCCGAAGGTATGAAAAGAAAAACTGCAGCAACATAACAACAACCAAAGATAGCAGCAATGAAATAGAAGCAAAGAAACAGCAGCAAGGGGCTAGCAGCAAGGAGTTAACAGCAAAGGGATAGCAGCCAGGAAAAGGAAAACAGCCAGGAAAGGGATAGCAGCAATACGGTAGCAGCAATAAGGTAGGGCAAAAAGAAAGTAAGGCAAAAAGAAAACAACTAGGATAGTAATAACAGCAATGGGGTAGCTGCAATAGGGCAAGAAAAATAGGGTAGCGGCAGAAGGACAACAACCAGAAAGGGATGGTGCCAAGAAGGTAGCAGCAATAAAATAGCCGCAAAGAAATGACAGCTAAGAAAAGAGTGGTAGCTAGCAAAAGAATAGCAAGGGAAAATAATAACAAGTAACAACAGAAAAAATAAAACCAACGAAGCTAAGGCCAATGCGTTCGGGGGTAGCTGGACGAGCCTCAAAAGCACCGCAAAGCACCCCGAATTTAAGCTTGCCCGCCGCGCAACGTTACCTCGATATAATTGTAGCCTGTGCCAATATAAAAAGAGAGAAAAACGTACCTATTCAAGGCGCTAGCCTCTTTCACTTTGCCTATAGGCCCGGCCAACGGAATGACGACGTTAAAATTGGCAGCAATCCCACGAGAAAGGATTGGAATGTAAAACCAAGGCCCTAATCCTTGCCGATCAGGTGGATGGTAGAAGGCTTTTTGTGGCCAGAGTGTAACTGGAGTTATCCCTTTTCAGTCGGATCGAATAACTGGCCGCTTAATCGCCGCCTCTTGCTTCCGGATCTGGCACGTTGCTTGTACTCTTGGCAAATCCCGCATCCAGAGGCGTGCTGGGCGGTGGTATTGGAATGACAGGCTGGGTGATAGGGCGGGCGTAGGAGAGAGGAATGTTGAGGTTCTGTGAGGTCGAAATTGGGCGTTGTATTTGAGAGGCGTCAAATCTGATGATCTCGCAGGGATTCGTTTCCTTATCCGTCGTGGGAGTGTCCACCTGGTGTGCTGGTGAGGTGATGTCAAGTGCGTGACAGCCGCGCCCAAGTCGGTCTTCGTTCGACAGCGATCTGGCGCGTCCTATTGTGAGGCTATCAGCGAGGCCTTGTTAGCGCGAGATTCAGAGCAGAAAGACAAGAAGATTTGAAAAGGAAAAAAAAGCCGAAAACTTGGGACCAAAACTCAAGTGGGTACGAAGTGTTGGATGCAGGGATTCGGAAGTGAGGACAAGATGAGGGAAGAGTGAGGGCCCGCTGCGAGCCAACACAACGGCGGGTGAAACTGCCACTCGGGAGACAACTCCAGGACGAGAATTGCGATGTGGGAACACCAGGCAATACAAGCGAAGCTAGAAACGAAACAACGGGGGGAACATACTCGCTAAATGTAATAACCGGCCCGGTTTCCAGGCTGGGGGAGAAGATTTCTGGAATTGGCGCCCAAAGATCCTCTCAAAGAGCTTTTAGGGCCGTCGAGAAAGACTTCAAGAAAGGTGCCGGTATCGCTGTCTTTGGGACGTTCCTTCGGTAGCGGAATTGTCGGCAGCGAAACGGGCGACCACGAGGGAAAATCAGTCCTGTTAGCCAGAGATCTGGCGGACTGATAATGATCGATTGGGCATAAGCAGACGAGAGGGGAAGAAGAGAAACTAGTTGGTGACGGAGGTGTGAGAGAAGGCGATCCGAGGTCGAGACGGACACCGTCGCCAAGCTGAAAAGACGGACGGGAAAGTTGGTTGGTGGCAGTCGGCGGAGCGGCCGGTAGCGTCGTCCAGACAGGACGAAGACTCTTTATATAGGAGGGAGAGGTCGGTTGACAGTTGCCGGGTCAGGTCCAGTTACGGACGAACGAAGGACGGATATCAGATGAAAAAAAAATTCTGCCAGCTCAGGCCGGCGAGATCGGATAGAGTGGGCAGAAATCAAGGGGGACGCCAGGCTGCTGTGGCATTGGGACGCGTCGTGATAGGCAGCTGGGCCGCGAGAACTGGACTACGGACCCACAACGAAGAGGCGCCCGCCGCCACAACTTCGCGATGGGGGGGTGCCATCAGGGTGCAGCTTGCAGTGTGCAGCCCACCTAGGTGTAGCTAGCAGCTGGAGCTGCCTATGGCGTAAATGACGTACCTCTCGCGTAGTTGTCACGAGGAAAATGGGCCGTCTGAGCGGATAAGGGTTGAGGTTCGGGTTGCCCGCCCGCTTTGGAAGCAGAGCCATTTCCATCCGTTTCACATTCCTTTCACTTCTGCCTCCAGCTGGCAGGTGCAGTTCACACGCCCGAGGAGCCATCTTTTGCGCAAGATGCCCATAGATTCTTGACTACCCGATCCCACATGCAGCAACCTCGCCAGTCGCCGCGACGCAGCCCATACAGACACTTGTCCACTGATCGTGAAGCCTTCTTTCCCATCAGCTCGCTAGCACTGCCTTTCCTAAGCGGTGCGTTGGGGTCGATGTGTGACACAGGCCGGAGGAGGGCTACCAGCAACCAAAGACAGGTGCCACTTCCGCGGGAACAGTGATGCAAGAGATTGGTGTCGGCTGTAGCGACGTGACTAAGGAACAGCTGCAGATTGGTGCTACCTGATGGCAGCCAAGTGCTAAAGAGAGTTCCCGGTTGGGTGCAACCCTTGCAACCGGGCATACAGCTTGAAGAACTTCTACGTAGCGTTTGCCTTAGGGTCTACTGGTACACTGCCTCGCAAAGTGGGCCGAAGGCATATGAAGACAACAGAAAACTGAATGGACCGTGAAACATCTTTATATCAAGATGGTCAACTGAGTGCTAACAGCCGAGTCCATTCTCTCGACCGCGCTATTTCCTACCCAGAACCCGCTCGATGGTGGATTTGGGCATGCAGTAGACGGGATCGACAGCCTCGAGCCCCGGCCACTTGAGAAGGGATAGCCCAGCAATGCCAAAGCACGTGTGCCACACGTCCACCTGGTTCCCGGGCCTGTCCGACACGCCGCCCGCCTCGGTGTCCTGGCTGCGGAGGATGAAGGAGGCAAGGGCGTCGCGGTCGATCCAGTGCGTGCGCCCGACGATCTCGAGGCTGGCCAGCACCCACCAGCTGTAGCACACGTCCTCCTGCTTCTCGGGCCGCCCGTTCAGGCCCCCAGCGGGCACCTGCCGCTCGCTCAGCCAGCAACCCAGCCGGTCCGTGTCGATCAGGTCCAGCCGGCCGGCAATGGCGAGCGCCGCCACGCACGTGAGGATCTGGCCCGAGTGCGACTCGGCGCCGGGCCGCACGCCATAGCCACCGTCGAAGTTGGCGCACGCCGCAACGTGCTCGACAGCCCGGCCGACGTCGACGAGGTCCAGCCGGCCCAGGAGCGATAGCGCGTTGAGGGCGCCGTACAGGAACCGCGTGTCCTCCTCGCCCCACTCGTCGCCGGCAAAGGTGCCGGTCTGCCGGTCCTGAAGGTCCGCGATGACTGTCGCGGAGGGAGCAAAAAGAGAATAGGGTGGGAGAGCCATGGTAAGCTTGAGGCAACCGACAGCCGACTTCAGCTTCGACGGGAGCGGCAGCAGAAGGGAGACTCACACTTGCCCACCTGCGCCGCGTTCCCCTTGCCTCTCTTGTCCAGCTCGTCCAGGGCGTCGACCATGGCCAGGATCTGCACAGCACTGACTGTGGACAGCATGTGGGCGTCGTGGCCCGGGGCGGCGCCGAAGCCGCCGCTCTCGTGCTGGCAAGACAGCACAAAGTCTATGGTGGCATCTCGCGGGAGGGCTTCCGGGTGGCCAAGGATGTGAAGTGCGGCAAGGCCCCAGTAGACGCCGTTTAGCCGGAGGTGTTCGGTCAGCCAGTAGTCGTAGTCCTCCTTCCTCGTGTCGAGGCTCTGGATGTATTTGACATGCGCTTCCGTCGCGAGGCGCAGCTCGTCGGGGAGGGCGCCGGCCGACGAGGTCATGACAGGCGGGGTCCAATAGAGGCAGATCCAAGGGTAGTCCGAGGGAGCAATGGGGGCTACGTAGGGCGACAATGATGCGCTTCTCTCTCCGTTGGGGGCGGTTGTTCAGGGGTCTGGTCCAGGAATCTTTGTCGAGGGAGGTTGTAAACGGGGCTGCAGTTTACGTCAGCAGCCATCCGCCTGTGGGTGACCCAGTCCCCGCACCGTACAGTGCACCCTTGAAATTCGTCATTCCCGTCCGCCCTAGCGACACGGCGCGATGCGCTGGATGGATCGATGGAGGGATGTCCGCTTCCGGCGGACACGTCTGCCGAGCCAAGAGATTTGAGAGAAACCTCCGTCCCGAACCATGGGTCGTGTGATGCTCCAGTGGCTCCCCAAAGGCCCATCTGGCATAGTCTATAAATAAGAGGACATCTGGTAGGTACCTGAGAACCTACCTGGGAACTCAGGGGCTGCGCCTCGCATGTCACTGCCATTTCGCACGACACAGCAACCGATCGACTCCGATGGCCGATCCTTGATTTCGTCGGGCCAGCAGCTCCGATCGGGCTTGGCCCGACACGGTGCTTGGCTTGATACATTAAGGCGGAGGCGGCTAGCAAGCTTGCACCCTGATCGACGGCTGGTGGGTAGGTTTATCCATGCCTTTCCAGGCTGTATTGCCCATGTTTCGATACTTTGCTGGAGCTTGCATTGACAAGACCTGCTTGCCCGGCGTTCCTGTCATCCAAACGAAACCTCTGGAAACACAGATTCCTGGGTTCCCGACGCTGCCGTCTGGGGATGCCCTAACAGGCGTCCTTGACCTCCGATCACCGTGTCGGACTTGTGGAGTAGCAACCTCGAGAAGCTACGGAAAGGTTGAGTGTGGAACGGGGCGCAACACACAGACACGACCAAGAGACAGAGGTGGCAACCCGTCCACCACCGCCTTCCAGTTCCCCACGCCGCAACTGGGCTGGGCTCCAGTGTTCCTCAGCAAACGTGCTTCTCGTGTGCGGCGTTTCAGGGCTCGGGTTGCGTTCCTGGGCTAGGCTGTTCCTGGAGTTCGCAGTATTGGTGCGGCGGACGGGGGTGAGTCAAACCATCCGAGTAAAAATCGGGACCTGTTGGTGAGCGGGCATGGCCGAGTTTCCTTCATAATAAAACCACCGTTAAAATCCGCTGAGCGCTGGTCGCCTGCTTGCTAAGCCCGCCTTGCTTCCCCTGTGTTCAATGCGGCAGTTCGTCCATGCCCAGCGCCGGGTTTTCTTTTCCTCCTCGTTTTGGCTGTCACACTCCATCTTCTCCTCACGCTGATTGAGCCCCATTGTCCGCGCGCAAAGACCGTGCCCCTGCCTCGACACGACATCTCGTCTGCTCGAAAGTGGGGGGCCAGCCACCTCGAGGAGAGCTAGCACAAGCGAGCACGCTGGTTGGGAAATGGAACAGAAAGGACCCTTCTTTGCCCTGGCCCTTTACCTTCACCGCCGTCGGGCATCGCGCAAAGTCTCCGATCGCCGTCGCCGGACGGGCCCATAAAAAATGATTACGGTGGGCGGGCGGGGAAAAAGGCCGATGGGGCAATATCCTGGATCGTGATCAAGGATAGCTGCCCAAGTGCGACTTGTTTGCAGCTGTTATTCTCGTGCGCATTGGGTTCAAGATCAATGAATGGCATCGTGCGAGGTCACTATACGGATACGTTTCTCCATTGCTCCATGCAGCGACATGACTTGTTGAACCATGGGCCCTGGGCCCTGGCGTACCAGCAGTAGGAAGACGGAATATCCTGCGCGCCTATCATCTGTCAACAGCCAAGACCATCATGTTGCAGCTCGACAGCATCTGTCTCTGGCGACAGCTTCGAACCGGACGCGACAGACAACACGGACAAAAAGCGTCTTGACACGAGTCTGGCAGTGTGCTCGTGCGCCTCGGGCATCCAACATGGTGCTCACTAACCTTGGCCCATTGGGCACCGTAATTCCAACGCAGGCTGGATGCCATGTGGGTGTGCACAGGATGAGAGACGTCCCAACACTGCCAACCCCTGGATGATATCCAAATCCCTGGTGATGCGCACGCAACACGTTTCAGAATTCGATACTTCCCTCGCGCTAGCCAAAAGGGGGCGCGGATATTTTGCGACGCAATTGCCTAGCGCGCCGATAATCTGGGCAGCTAGCACAGCTAGGTCCTCTGTGTGCCGGTGCATGTTTGCGCTTGCATTCCTCGACACAGTGCTCTCGGTCAAGGGCTGGCGACTGGAACAAAAGGGGGTGCTTGCAGCGGGCCGTGTTCACCTGGCGTTGATCATCACAACTCATGATGCAATCAAGGGCGGAGTGAAGGCATGGAGCAATGGGACAATGGGGGCTTCGATCCCCGCCCGAATGTTACCTGGCGGGCACATGGCGACGGAGCAGAGGGCAGGCCAGGTGGTAGCCTTGGGGCTCCGAGTAAAATACGAATGGACGGGCATCGAGAGGAGCTTGGGTAGCAGAGGGAGGCAGGTCTGACCTTCAACAGTGTCCTCAACTGAGCAAAGCGACCGAGATTTATTATCTGCCATCATTGATCTTCGTCCTTCCTTTTGGCGCTGTGTAATGCCGGCATTCGACGGCGCGCGAAACCTCAGAGATTTGGCCTTGATCGAGTTTGCGCCGGGGCACTCGATAGCAGGAAGGCGACGTGCACCACGCCACACCGTCACCTTTGGACACTGACCCCTTTGCAGTTAGGGTTTCCCAGCGCACGCATAGGGTGCTGCCTGCAGCGCTCCAAGCTGCACCTGCCTCGCGCGAATAACCGTGGGAGATCCGAACCGTCAAACGCGCACCCGGCCGGGAAAAGAAAAGAAGACGCAATTGATCGGGAAAAAAAAGAGAGGGCCAAAAAAGAAAGAGAAACACCACATCCATTGACAACTGGCGTGCGGATTGGAGCGCAGCAGCCCGGGGCCGAGCAACCAAGCGTGGCTGGCCCCAAGAAGAAAAAAAGTCAAGAGCCGGCACAACTCAAAGCTGAGCGACACCTGACGGCCAGCAGTCCGCCCTCGCTCAGCCCGCACCAAACCGACTGGACGGAACACAGTTGAGCCTGCTTGCTTTTCTCCCACCCGAACCATCCTCCCCTCTCCGCAAGCAGTGCCACAACGACGGATCGAAAACAAACAGGCAATCGGCTAGGCCATTGAACCTGTCCGAACCCGCGCGCGAAGCATCAGCACCACCATCAACGAAAATACCCGGCGCCTGTCCTGCTGGAGCCGGCCCGGAGCGGATTGTTTGGTGGCACCGCATTGCATGCTGTCGCTTGGCCGGGTCCAAGCAGGCATCAGAGGATCCAGTAGCCCAGACCCAAGCAGAGCCCCAGCCCGCGGATCCTGCGTCAGCGGACACGTCCCATCGCCGCTGCCAACTGCTGCTCAGGGGACAAGCCGCCACATGAGGCCGAGCACCTGACCGTTTGCCTCCCTGACCTCCTCGCACCAACTCTCTACCGCCGTCCCTCCAGTGCATACCGCACGCGGTACAGTACCTTCATACCAGCGACCAGCCTGCCTGTCTTGGTCGTCTGGTCTGCCCACCAGGTCCCCATACCACCCCCCGGCCCTGTCTGACTGTCCTCCACTTCTTGCACCGGCGAGGTACCGGTACTCCTCCCTCGCCCACCACCCCCGACCCCGGCCCCCGACCCTTCTGGCCCTGGGCCCCTCCCACACCCCCTCCCAAATTTGTCGCAGGCCCCAAATCTGCCTATTTGCGCCCCGACACTGTGATACGGAGGCGGGCCACGCGAAGGCCTGGCTTTGCTGCTGCGGCAAAACTACGAATCAGGAAGAAGGGCGCGCCGCTGGATCTGTGGCCCAACACATTTTACGTCCACAATGGGACGGAAACCCGCTCCTGTGCCGCTGACGCTCTCAGAGACCACTACTGCTGCTGCTGCTGCGGGCAGCAACCAACGTTCTGCCGGCGAAACGCAGCATACCGACTCCCGGACCGAGCCAAGGTCTCCAAAGTCGCCCAGGTCCCCGCGCTCGCCATTCCGTTTTACCCACAAGAAGTCCCCCGTTGCTAGCATCTCGCCTTCCTTGCAGGCCCCCGCCGAAATCCAGGCACAGAACCAGCTGTCCGCCCAACAGCCGCAACAACGACAACACCAGCAGACGCCGCAGGCGCAGTACCGCCCCCAAGACGAAAGCCAATATCCTCTAATCTCGTCGGCGCTGGAACAGCCGTACCAGGGCCTGCCTGAGGTGCGTGAGCCGCCGGGCCTGGGCGTCGCCACCTCCAGCCAGCCCGCCGACGGTGGTCAGGCCCCGAGCCAGCCGCAAGGAGACGCTCTCCAGCTGCCATCACAGATGCCCTCGCAGCGCCCGCTCGAAACGCCCAAGTCTGGATTCTTTTTCAATTTTGCCAAGCCATCGCCCTCGCGACCTACTGCCGACGCTAGGCGCACCGAAATCATGGCGAAGAGCACCGAGCACTCTAAAATGACCAAGCAAAGTCACAAACATTCCGGTAAGACAGCACAAAGGGACCTCAGGGGACATGACTAAAGTTTGGGCTGGCGCAACGCCACGCGCTCTGCCCCTTCTCAGCATTGACGCACACTTTATTGCTGACCATCGATCTGTCAACCACGCAGAGTCGTCCCACATCGCAGACCACATCCAGAGGCCATTAGCCTCGCTGCCCTCAAAATCCGAAGTGTCGCTGGCATCGTCTGCCGAAGGCGAGGCCACGACATTGCCGAAGCGGGGAAAACCGAAACCGTTTGCCATCCTTGGCCGCCAGCGGTCGCTTCAGGACAAAGAAAACACAAGCCCCAAAGATAAGGACGCACACCTGGCACCCGAGGCCCCGACCGAGCCAGAACGAGCGCATACGGCGGCACCCCCGCTCCGAACCGCACCCGCACAGTCCGACCGCAGCTTCCGCGACATGATGTCTTCGGCCGTCCGAAACCACTCGGCCGACAGGGCAGAGAGGACCCGCGCACGTGGCGACTCTGGGCGTGACAAGGAGAACCACAGCAGTCGCGACAGGGAATATCACCATGGCCGGACCCATACCTCGACGTCTCGCGAGAACGGAGGCTCTGCCTTTTTGAGTGGCCTAAAGAGCTCGGGAAGCAAGGCGGCTGATATCATAAGCAAGGGCTTGTTTGGCAAGGGCGGGAGGAGCGGGAGCACAACCGAGAAGGAGCCCATCGTGGACGATGAGCACTACCAGCTCAAGGTGCTGAATCTGCCTTTGCGCGACCAGGTTCGGCGCACGCGCATCTCGAAGCGGCTGGAGGATTCTCGCGACAAGACGGAATTCTGGATGCCCGCGTTTCCCTGGCGAGCGATCGACTATTTGAACTATAAGGGCACCGAAGTCGAGGGTCTCTACCGGGTTCCGGGGAGCGGTCCACAAATCAAGAAGTGGCAGCGCAAATTCGATGAAGGTGAGCATGACTTCCCCATCCACTGTCATTACTGGAATCACCCGGCGCTGACCCTCATCTTCGTGCACTAGAATACGACGTCGACCTGTTCAACCAGAAGGACCTGTACGACATCAACATCATCGGCTCGATGCTCAAGGCCTGGCTCCGCCAGCTCCCGGACGAACTGTTTCCGAAGGAGGCACAGGAGAGGATAGCAAAGGAGTGCGCCGGCGCCGAGAAGGTCCCACCTCTCCTGATCGAGGAGCTCTCCAACCTGTCACCGTTCAACTACTACCTTCTCTTCGCCATCACATGCCACCTCAGCCTCCTCCTTGCCCACTCAGACAAGAACAAGATGGACTTTCGTAACCTATGCATCTGCTTCCAGCCATGCATGAAGATCGATGCCTTTTGCTTCAAGTTCTTGGTCTGCGATTGGCGAGATTGCTGGAAGGGCTGCAAGGACGAGGCCAAGTACATCGAGGAGGAGTATCTGCTCTTTGACCAGCCGCCGCCGCCGGGTTTATCAGAGCCTTCGTCAAGAAAAGCTGCCCCACGTGCTGAGGGCATGGCCACGGGTGCGCCGTTCCAGGATGTGCGCCTCGTATCATCGTCGGACAGCAGCAAGCAGTCAAACCAGGGCGAGAAGCCGTATCAACAAACACAACAACAACCACAGCAGCAGCTACAGCCGCCCAAGTCACGTCTCACGAAGAAGAAGACTCAGCCACAGCCAACCGACAACGGCGGTGTGGTGTCGGCTTCAACAGTGCCCACTCTCACCATCGACAGCAACCCACGAGAGACGACACCACCAAGGAGGTCAGGGGACATGCGGCCATTGTCTCCGATAAAGCCACTGTCGCCCTTGGGCTTTTAGTACCGTCTATTGCGCGGAGCTATGCGTGGACGGGCGAGACGGGACACCATACGTGCTAAGCGCCCGAAGCAACAATTCCCAAGATCCCAAGGCTGAAACCGGTACGCTTCGGGTTAGCTCAATCATCGCTGGGCCACCGCCCCGTCTCTGCAATCCAGTCATCCGCAGAAACCAATGTACCCTATACCCGACATCCTAACGACCGACGACGCATTTTACGACTTGATATCACACTGCGTGCGGCTGTCGTGTCTTGCAAAGCCAACTCCACTCGTCACCACCGCTACTACCACAATAACTGTAACACACAAGTCCAAGATTCTTGGCAATCTTGGGGAGCCGGACCCCTGTTCGGGTACCCATGAAACTGGGATAGAATTCTGGGTTTTAGGGGGCATTTTCTTTCCTTTCCTTTTGTTGTCTCGCTCTCCATCTCCTGCAGCAAAAGCTTTACCATGTTGTTATCTTTCACGAACGAACCTCTCCGGCTTCAGACTTTTTTTTTGTTATACCCCTTCGGCATTCTGTGACGGTCTCATCATTCGTTTTCCAGACTCATGAAAACGCAGGGCATGGACAGGCTTTTCTTTTCGTCCTTAAACTTCACTCGTGTTCTTTATTCTAGCTTTTATTTCATTTGTTCGGCTTCCTTCGATTTGACAATTTCGGCTTGGAGCCTCCATGTTCCTGGGTTTGAATACCTCTGACGCAGCCCGGCGCTTGATGGAATTATAACTTATTATCTTGCGCAAGTTTACCCCTTCCTAGCTAATTGCGTTACGCGTCTCGCCTACGGCGCACTGTCGCGTTGGGACCGTCTAATTTGACTGCCCGAACATGCAGACGTGAGAGCATCGAGTCCGTCTCGGGGCTGAATGCGCCATGTCAAGGAGTAGCATGCAGTCCAAATACGGCTAATTGGGACATGCTTATCCAACCGTATCCAGATGGCTTTTCATCCTTTTTGCTATGTCTGCTTTTGCCGTTTTCTTGTATCTCTTTCCTCAGGTAGCAAGGTCCGGCCAGACATCTAGGTACCCCAGCATCGACAGAAGGTTAATAGACAACCTCGCCATACAAATTGTTGGCCACGTGGGGCAAGGCTAGATCCTCAGTGACAATTTTCTAAAACCACCGATACCCCGTGATGCGCAGGGATAGACGAACGCCGTCGTGAACGCTGCCGTGGATAGATCTATACTGGATCTTGTATGTAAACCCCCCCCCTCTCCAAACGCCAAACACCACAGAAATGTCATGACGAAGCCCATCCGAAAAAAAGGAAGGGCGGCGAATTTTCACACCGCCGATGCGTCACGGCGTGATTAGCTCGATGATGAACAAGTAGAATAAAGACGACACACACACACAAACACGCAGACGAGAAGATGGGGCGACGGGGGTGGCACCCCCATCATTTCCTCTTCTGCACAGCGTCGCGCTCGTTCTTGCGCATCTTCCTCTCGTTGCGCTTCTGGCGCTCGACGCGCTCCCTCCTCGAGGCGCCGCGGATCGTCTCGCCGTCGCCGAGCTTGGCCTCCTTCTCCGGGTCGACCTCGACGAGCCAGTCCTTCTCCACCTGCTTGTTTGCGCCCTTGTACCCCCACTTCCTCTCCCACTCCCCTTTGTCCTCGTTGTACTGGGTGTTGCGGCGCTGCTCGCGCGTCTTGGGCTTGATGCCCTTCTTGGCCGCGAAGCGCTCCCACTTGGTCGGCTCCTTGGCGGCCGGGACGGGCTTCTCGCGCGGCAGGGGGGTCTGCTGCGGCGGGAGGGAGAGCAGGACGCCGGAGGGGGTGGACTGGATCGGACACGCCGTCAGGAGCTGGTTCACCAGCGCCTGTGCGCCGTCCCGGGCCAGATCGCGCAGTGAGGACTCGAGGTCGGCGCGGTCGAGGGTGACGGGGTTGGGGTCGCTGGCGAGGAGCAGGCCTGTGAGGGGATGGTGGAGGTCAGAAGTGTGAACATCAAGGGCGGCGCATGGGGTAGAAGGGTTGGGGCTGGCGCTGACCGAGATCAAAGTTGTATGGGGTTGGCTTCTCGACTGCGACGGCTAGTTTCGTTTTTGACTCGGGGGCTGCCATTTTTGCTTGTGATGTGTCCGACACTCTTAGTAGCGGCGGTGTCTAGTTCGCAATAGGTGGTGTTGTCGCAAAGAAAAGTCCCCCCGCCGCTGGTAATGAGACGAGCAGATAAGGGATCTGAGGTAGCTTTTCTTCCTGAAATTTTAACCCTAACCCATACTATCGCTCAATCGCGGAGGGTTTCTCAAGCTCTGGTTGGCTGGCTGTGCCCGCGCTGTAAGGAATTGGCCCCGCTCTAGTGCAGTGCGAAGAGGAAGCTCAGGCCAGCAGTTTTTTCGATGCGGAGGGACGACGAATTCCCTGATGCGGGCCGGCGAGCAGACGACGATATAGCCCTCCAATCCCCTCGGCAAGGGCCTTCGACGACAGCAGCTGGCCCTCGCTAGCCACACCCCCAGACTGTAAAAATGGCCACGCCAAGCTGCTGGAGGTGCCTCCTGCTGAGGCCCTCGACAGCGCTCGCAGCCCCCGCTCGTGTGGCCGCGGCCGTGGCAGCAAAACCGCCGGGGCTGGCGCCGACGACGAAGGCGACGAGCGCACCCTTCTCGACCAGCGCACCGCTCAATGCGGCGGGCGACAGGGCCGGGAACCCGAACCACTCGATCAAGAAGGCGCAGACATTCAGGATGAAGAAGAAGGCCGTCAAGCCGCCGGCCAAGTCGCCGCTGCCGGGCGAGAGGAAGGCGTTCCGGAAACGCATCCAGCTCAGCAACAACAACGCTCTCCCCGTCGAGGGGCTGGAGCCCCTGAACGGCCGCGGCCTGACCGAGGACGCGAGCGTGGCCACCATCCGCGCCCTGCCCGACGACCTGGTCGACCAGCTGCGGGCCGTCGAGGCCTTCAAGCCCACCCAAAACTGGGGGCTCTTCCGCGCGCCGCACGTCCTCGTACGTGCCGAGACGGTCGAGCTCTGCCGCAGCATGCAGCAGGCGGCCGAGAACAAGGAGACCCTGCGGCTCGTCATCAACGGCGACAAGATCTCGGGCAAGAGCACGCTGCTGCTGCAGGCCCTGTCCAAGGCCTTCCTCGACGACTGGGTCGTGTTCCACATCCCGGAAGGTCAGTGAGGCTGCCCCGTGTGGTGCTTCTGCCCAAGGGGGATGCATGCCCGGGAGAGGGCTCGGGTGGGGGAGATCACCATGGCTGACTTTTTGGCTCTCTCGTCTGCGCGACAACAGCCCAGGAGCTCACGACAGCGTGCACTGAATACGCGCCCATACCAGGCACGCAGCCGACGCAGTACATGCAGCATGTCTACGCCTTCAAGATGCTGCGCCGGCTCCTCAAGACGAGCGAGAAGGTGCTGCGGAAGATAACCATGCTCCGAAAGCACGACGACGTCTCGACCGACCTGGTCACCCACAGCTCCTCGCTCGCGGACCTCGTCTCATCGGCCAGGGAGGCGGACCAGGCCTGGCCGGTCCTCCGGGCCCTGTGGGCCGAGCTGCTGACGCCGGCCCCGGACCGCAGGCCCATCCTCTTCTCGCTCGACGGCCTGGGCCACATCATGCGCACCAGCGACTACCGGTCCCCGGCCTTTGAGCTGATCCACTCGCACGACCTGAGCCTGATCCGCCGCTTCATCGACGCCCTCTCGGGCGGCGCCACGGCGGCGCCCGACCAGCCGCCGCCGCCGCCCTTCCCCGCCGGCGGCGCTGTCCTCGCCGCCACCACGCTCGGCAACTCCCCAAAGTCCTTTAGCATGGAGCTGGCCCTGGCCCGCCTCGAGGCCGCCAAGCGCGGCGAGGCCCCTCCCGCAAAGGACCCTTACAGCCGCGCATACGACGAGCGCGTCGAGGCCGCCCTGGCCGACGTCGGCCTGCTCCGCCTCGGCGCCCTGACGCGCACCGAGGCCCGCGTCGCCATGGAGTACTGGGCCGCCAGCGGCCTGCTGCGCGCCGCCGTCGACGAGAAGAAGGTCGTCGACGTCCTGTCGGTCAGCGGCGGCGGTATCATCGGCGAGGTCGAAAGGGCCCTGCTGCTGAGCATGAGGATTTAGAATCGGGTGGTTATCGTAAGCGTGGCTGGTCTTGTATTGCCCGGTTCCACACTTGTAAATGGTGCTCGAGTTTGCGCTCCACCTTGTAAACTACGTATATAAAATCCCCTGGGACGTGGGTGCTTGCTGTTTCACACATGACAAGAACTAAAATAAGAAAAAAAGTTGAAAGGATATTTTTCTCGATTCGGCGACGCTACAAATTGTTAGTATCCCAGGCCGGGAAAGGGGGTTATTCACAAAGCATACAGGTGCCCTCAACCACACCCTAGAATTGGAACCCATGGACCTAATATCACATACCTCTATGCCTTTACCAGGCACACTCTCAAGCAGGCAATACCACGTCCGATGTCCATAATCGTCATCATTACTCTTGCTACCCCTCATAGGCCTCCCATGCTATCTTGGTGAAATCATGGACTAAATTCAAACTCAAAAGCTCACAACAAAAAACACAGACACGGATCTTACCAACACCTAAACTCCCAAGGACAGTGGGGGGG